ATACAGGGCAGTGGAGAGAATGCAGAGCTGAAGCTAAGGGTCTAAATAGAACAAAAAAAATAAATAAATCCCATAAATATTAGAAGAAATTGGCAGGGCCAATTTTCATGCCCCGTTTGCACTCGCTCAGGGCCGGCTCTAGGCACCAGCAAAACAAGCTGGTGCTTGGGGCGGCACATTTTTAGGGGCGGCATGGCCGGCGCCAGAATGCCGCCCCTAAAAATGTGCCCCGGCCACCCTAGCTCACCTCCGCTGCTGCCGCTCGCGTGCCATGGCGCGCGAAACAGCTGATTCGCGCGCCGCTGCTCCCCCTCCCTCCCAGGTTTGAGAGCCTGGGAGGGAGGGGGAGACTCTGAGTGGCCGCGGCGCGTGCACCGCTTCTCCCCCTCCTCCCAGGCTTGAGAGCCTGGGGGGAGAAGGCAGGGCGGGGGATTTGGGGAAGGGGCGGAGCTGAGGTGGGGCCGGGGGTGGGGTAAGAAAAAACGGGGGGGGGGGGGAATTGTTTCTGCTTGGGGCGGCAAAAATCCTGCCTCTGGAGGAATGCACCAGAGATGTGTTTGGTGGCAGGAGCGTTAACCGAATCAGCACACGCTAAGTAAATATTTGGAGCACATTGACGGAAAGCAATATTTGCCACTTGTAAACATGAGTGTTTGCACCGGAAATCTGATACTGACAGTCACCCTCATCCAATACGGGAACACAGACCTTCTATGAGATGTTTGCATCCCATCCAAACTAAGCAAAGCTGTTCTGATTGCAGATCTCAGATACTAAGAAACTGAAATACAAAACAAGAGAGGGCTACTGAGATTAGCTGGCAAATCATTTCCAGTAAGAAACAGATTCAGAAGAAGCATGTGCTGCCTACGAACACTTTGGAAAAGGAAACAAGTGACATTTGTCAAGTTATATATGTGCTCAGTGAAGGGAAAGTGTGGTCAATGCAAGAATTCTTCCATCAACCTCATGCTGGCTACACCTGGGGCTAGGTCGGTGTAGCTACATCTAGAATCATAGAATATCAGGGTTGGAAGGGACCTCAGGAGGTCATCTAGTCCCACTCTCTGCTCAAAGCAGGACCAACCCCAACTAAATCATCCCAGCCAGGGCTTTGTCAAGCCTGACCTTAAAAACCTCTAAGGTTTTCCTTCCCAATCTGAGCCTGTCTCCCCATTCATTGTATAGGAAACCCAAGCACTTAACTTGGGCTTTGTTGATCCCACTATTGTTCCAGTGATTTCCTAGGCACCTAAAAATTAGGTGTTGCAACACTCAGCATTGCAGCATCTAAGTATCTTTTGAATCCAGGTCTATAAAACAGTAGCCTGCTGGTGCACATTAGAGGAACATTCTGATTACTGTGCCCTGCACCTCTGGGTGGGGCGTGGAAGACTGTCACAGTGCAGGTGCAGGTTATCTGTCTTCTCTGTCTACTGCACTGAGCACAAAATGGATGTCTCAAGGGGGTGTGGATTTTTCACACCCCAAGATATGTAGCTATGCCAATGTAAGTTCATGCATCCGAAGAAGTGAGGTTTTTACTCACGAAAGCTTATGCCCAAATAAATCTGTTAGTCTTTAAGGTGCCACCAGACTCCTTGTTGTTTCCTTAGGAGTAGTGAGTTTCTCAGGTCTGAGACAGGAGTTGTCTGTAAAGAACAGTGAACCCTTTGCCTGTTGGAACCAATGGGCCTCTGTGTCACAAATAACTGATTTTTATTTTTTTGGTTCTGAAATCTGAAACAAAACAAAAAACCTGGGATCAAAGCAAAATGAAAATTGTCAAAATGTTTGGTGAATTGAAAAGTATAAACATTCTTTTCTGAATTAAACATTTTGTTTGGACAACTCGATGTTTTATTTCACTTTTGACCATTTTCAGATGGTTTTGATTTATTTTTTAAAAATAAAATGAAAGGCTATTGTGAAACGAAAAGTCATTTGGAACCAAACAATTGAAACACGTCGATTTATTTCAGTGGATTTCGTAAGGTTTCTTCAGCCAAAACAATCCAGTGAAAACAAAACACTGTCGTGAACTGCTTCAGTGTCGCTGTCACTGCATTTTTTTCACTGAATAATTTCATACTAAAACTGCCTAGCTCAGCTCACCAGTCTCCCTGGCCGGGCTGTTGAAGGAGTCATTCGTTAATAACCGGGTGATGCTTTGAACATGAAAAGTGCTTCAAAAATGTTAAGGACTGTTGAAGTACTTTGAAGAAAGAAGCACTTAGAAACCCAGCGAATGTTTGCTGCAGGGCCTGTAAAGTGGTCTTGAAAAATGACCCACATGCTCTTCGTAAAGTCCAGAGGTGAATGAGATCCACGGAGCAAAGTCTGTGGGGCAGGCCCTGGTCCCGTCAATGGGAGTTTCGCTGTGGATGTCTGTATGATAGTCATTTACTATTTCTATTCCCATAGAGGCTAGGAGCCCTAGTCAGAGACCAGAATGCCATTGTGCTAGGTGCTGTACAAACTGAAGGCCAGGATTTCAGCCCTGGTCCATAGAGTCTGTGGCTCAGGGTAGGAGGAGAAGGTGGCTGCTGATGGTCACAGACGTGGCTCCCTTACACAAAGGGTGCAAGGAGGGTGGGAGGCATGGGGGCAAAGCTGGGACTGTGCCTCCCCCGTTTTCCCTCTGCAAGCGCTCGGTGGAGCTTCTAAAATCCACAAGCCCCCGTGTCAGGCTACACACGCTCTTTGTACCATGCAGCAGCCATGCCTACTAGTCTTTTCAGGGCGCAGTCCCCAGCGAGAAACACAAGGGCTGAAGCCTGGCCAGAATTACAATCCCAGCCGAGGACCACCCCGGAGACGTCCCAGCCAGCTTCGGTTTGCGACTCTTGGGAGCAGGGGGTAGATCAGGCTCAAACTCCACACGGGACCACAGCGTTGCCAGTCATAGGAGGGGTCCCCTGAGCCCCAATGGGGGCGTGCTGGCTCTCAAGGCATCTCCTGCACATGTACACGCCTGCTCCCCTCGGCCCCAGGGGTCAACCTCGCTGGCATGCTGCTGCTGCGACTTCAGATAGAATAGTGCAAAACAAACCAGCAGCCAGGACCTGCAACCGACTCACTCCATGGCCTTGGGTTAGCCACTTCGGCCCCAATCCTCAAAGGCATTTAGATGCCTAAATGTCTTTGAGGACCAGGGCCTGCCTTGCTCTGTGCCTCAGTTTCCCCAGCTGCAATGATAATTATGTCTTTGAGGTGTATGGAAGAAAACCACCATGTGAATGCTAAGGACTATTAGCATCTGCATTACACCCAGGTTTACAGATATGAGATCTGGACACCTGAATTCTTTTCCTGCCATGGCTGTGCATCTCTGGGAGCGGCGGGGGGGGGGGGGGAAGGGGGAGAGACAATTCTCTGTGATTCACTTTACCTATCTACAGAGTGAGAGTAACTCTACAGTGCTGGGTCTGGAACTGCCTGGAACTGATGACCAGGCTGCTGTGCTGTTTAATGGACTTATAGCCTGAGATACTTGACGAGCAGGAAATGCACCCAGGCAGGGGAGGCGAATCCTGATTGCCCTTCTCCCCAGACAAGCCAATGCAGATCAATTCCCTCTGAACACTGGGCTCCACGCCCCTACTGGGCTGGATTCAAAGTCCTGGGGGCGGGAGGATCAAAAGCCTATCGGGGGGGGGGTTAAACACTCTCACAAGGAGGAGCAGAACCTGACCCCCGACCCCAGAGTTTAGGGGTGCCCTGAGGAAGCTGAGCCTGTCCAGGTCTCCACTTTGGAATGTCAGACCGGGGCAAAGCAGACAGGCCTGCTGGCCGTTGGGTGGTTTAAACACCTTCTCTCCTGCTAGGCTGCTGTTCGGATGAAGCTTTGCGGGGTCACTGTCCCCACATGGGTCACAACCCCCCGACGGACCAGCCGTCCTGCTGCAGCCTGTGCGCGGGGGACTGGAGCCAGCACCCGGTCCGAGAGCGGGACAATCGGAGGATGCCCGCCTCCGGGAGCTAAGAGCCTGAGGCCTGACGCCTGAGGGCTGTACTCGGAGAGGCGGCCAGCCCCACACCGTAACCCTGGGGTGCGCGGTTGCACTGGTGAGCGCTGATTGATGGCACTGATGCCTTGGGTGAACGGTGCCAGAGATGGGCAATGCCATGTTACAACTAAAGAGAGAGACCGTGCCCGCTCCAGCCCCTGAGCTAAGAAGGTGGGTGTGAGCAGGGGCAGGGCTGGGAAGAAGTGGATTTATACCACGTGCCCTGAGGTCTGACGGGAGAGAGTGGGAACTCCCCTGACTCTAACTGGCCCTGGGGGACTGTCTGCCAAATACCACCAGGGACTGGGCAACTGCCCTGCTTCAGAGGGGCAGTGGGGTCTGCTCAGGTGGAAATCCGGGAATCAGAATTCTGCTCTGAGCTCTGCCTCTCATTATGTGACCTAGGGCGAGACGCCTCCCCCGTCTGAGCCTCGCTTTCCCATCTGTAACATGGGCATAATTATACTGGCTTTTCCTTCATGTCTTGTCTATTGGCCTGTGAGCTCCTCAGGGGCAGAGGGTGGCTCTCCTTGCGTGTTCACACCCCGCCTACAACAACAGGACCCTGATCTCCGCTGGGCACAATCTGAGCACAGCTACAATCCAAATAATCATTCGTACATCGCTGCGTAACCTAGGGCTGCGTAAGGCTCTGAAAACCCTCCAAAGATCCAGCCAGGTACTAGGAGAAAAGCCAAGGGGTCTGATTCCTGACCCACATCTGTACACTGGCGTGTCACTCTGCAGAGCTCAGTTCATGCCAGAGATTTCACTGGCCACGCTGGGATCTCATCTGAGCTGTGGGGAGCGGCACACACAGGCGATAGGGGCAGGATGCAGATGATTTGCTTGCAAGAAGAGCCCAATCCATGCAGCACTGGAGTGTTACTAACGCAATGCGAGGCTGGAACACCTCTCGCTGAGCTCTGCCCCCTACCAGCCCATCTAGCTGTTCCAGTTTGACAGTTTCTCTGGTAGGCTGGGGAAATATTGCTGTAGCCGCTCGCTCACTCTCCAATCATGTGATTAGAACAGTTATTTAAAGAGGCAGAATGTGCCTAGATTAGAGAGCAGTCTCTCCTCGCCTCTCCTCTCCTCAGTGCACAGTCACAGGGTTCAGCATGGCTGAAGCTTTCGCGGGCACCTGGAAGCTGGTGGACAGCAATAATTTTGATGAATACATGAAAGCGATTGGTGAGTGATTGGCAGCGTGAAAGGGGGCTGGGAATTGGGTGGTGCAGTGGACGAGCCTTTATTTAAAAGGGAGAATGATGGCTAGGGGGTTATTCTTTGCCCTGGAGATACAAGGAGAGCTGCAGGCTGGCCAGGAAAAAAGGCAAATAACTCAACAGGCAGTGAAATCCCAGGACTGGCTGCATTCCCGTTGCTGAGCTGAATTCTGTGCATTGTATGCAGGCAAGTGTCCCCTGGGCGTAATGTACAGGGTGTGGGCTCAGTCAGAAGGGGGTATTTTGGGTAACATTTTAAACAGTGATGTCTGTTTTCTCTTCACGCTGAATTTTCAGTACGTGTAGGGCTGGAGCAAATGTTCCTGTCGGAATAGGGTGACCAGATGGCAACTGTGAAAAAACAGGACAGGGGGTGGGGGGTTATAGGTGCCTATATAAGAAAAAGTCCCAAGAAAACAGGATTGTCCCTTTAAAAATGGGACATCTGGTCACCCTATTTGGAAATGGAAAATATGGGACAAGTGTTATTGGCAAGCAGTGTTACTTAGTGGGCAGAATGGTTTTTCTATCTTTTTTTTTTTAATAGCAGTTTTTAAACCTAAAATCAAAGGCAAACAGGCTGCTGTGCTGTATTTAAAATGCACACACACACATACACACACACACATACACACACGCCCCTTTCCGACCTTGATGGGGGCATGGAAGAGGCAGGGTTAATCATTCTGTCACCTGATTTCTCTGGGAGCAGCTTGGCCCGGCGGGGGGGTTCTGCACGGCTGACAGCTGGATGGGCGTGGGGGGAGGTCTGAGTGCAAGAGCTGGCGAGCAAGGTCAGTGTAACGGAGCCAAGCCAAGCCCGGCGCTGATATTTCTACAATCAGACACAAAAGGGGAAGCCTGGGTTGCATGGCAGCTGGCCAGGCTCATCGTTCTCAGCCACAGCGACTTCCTGCGCCAGCATCAATGAGCTCACAGGCATCAGCCACACCCATGCAATCCCCTCTGCAGGAGCGGGGAGGGGGGTGTTAGTGGCCCTTTGTGTCTGATGCAAGATCCGTCCTACCCTTTGCCTTGTCATTGCTCTGGCAATGGGAGCTTGGCTTCACTCAGTGCCTCTCCTCTCTGCCGTGCGCAGACTGCTCGGTGCCAGGCAGCATTTGCAGATGGATGTGGAGTCATCGCTGGGCGTGGGCCATCCAGAACCCTGCAAGGCTCGGGCAAGGCAGCTGGGCCCAGCAGCAAGCGCTCTGCGCTGCCACCGGGGAGCACTAGCTACATGTCCAGCATAATCACAGTGAAGCTGCATGGGCGGAACTGAGGGCAGGATTGGACCCCCCAGTCTCCTCCTTGCGGCATGGGAGGAAAGGGGTTTGCATTGTCATACTGGACACCCCAGCCGCTTCCAACTCACCTGGGCTGGGCAGTGCTCTGCTTTGCATGTGCGTGACTGCTGGAGCACGGGGCAGACACTGCTCTGGAGCACTGCAATCTCTAGCAGACTCCTCGGGGGACCCCTGCCCTGGCCAACCTGCCTTAGCTACCCCGCGGGAGGGGATCTGTCAGGGATGGCGAGTGGCTGCTCCAGCCTTCTCCCTAGCAGATTGTGGGGTCTGCTGTGTAAAATGGCTGCTCCCTCGAAATTGGCTCCCAGAAGCTGTTGCCATTGAATAAACACGGTGGGGACATTTTCCAGTCATGCGGGTTGGGTGGGGTCCACGGTCCCTCCCTGACTGTGACACTGAAATATCAGGGGTGCAAAATGGCCTGGAATAAATGAATGAAACATTTTGTACGTCTTCCCATGCGTACATGCACGTACACGCACACAGGGGGAAGTCACCCACTTTCACCCCACTCTGATTATTCAGGGCCAGCTCTGGCCTTTGATTACTTTGGTGGAAGGGTTTTGGCTTCCTGGGAGCAGAGGCCCAGCTGACACTTAGTGCAAAGCCAGCTTTGGGCTGCTACTGGGGGAAGCCAGACAAACGTGGGTCAAGATTTTGCAGAAGGGCCTAGTGATTCTGGGTGCCCACCTGGGCACACCTTAAAGGGGAGAGTTTGCAGAGGACGGGTGCTCAGCCACCTTTTAGGTGTCTCCCCAAATCACTAATGAAAACCATGCTGTCGTGGTCCCTTGCCCTCTGGCTCAGTGGGAAGCCACTCCACCTCACTATGACTCTGAGATGCCACTCCCTATCGGGGATTAAAGCCGTAGCCTTTAGGCAGGGCGGAGCAAACAAGCAGGCTTAAGGCTCAGGCTCTTAGGTGGGCAGAGCAATACAAACAGACAGTCCGGCGTCCCAGCTCTGGCAGACGGCAGACAATGCAGGCCTCTTGTCCTAAGTTGAGGAGCTGCCACCCCAGGGGGAGGTTGGCAGCAGGGGGTAGGGGGACCCGGGCCCACCCTACCCCAGCTGGTCTCAGCCCAGTGGTGGAGTGTTCTGCCACTTGACCAATGGGGATCTGCCCAAAACACACTGACCGGGGTTCAGGCAACAACAGAAACCAAACTACTGTCTGATGTCCCTGGGCTACTTCCTACTCTCCCACTATAATGTACCTGTGGCTTGGGGTCATCTCCCTTCTCATTGGGGTATATGGCGAGTAGCACTCCTGGCAGCTCTTCACCTGGTTCGGTCTCCTCCAGGAGCAGGGCAGAGCATGGTGCAGTGTGGGTTCAGGTCTGGGGATCTGCAGTGGCTTGGAGACATCTGCTCCATTCCCTGGCTCAGGCTCAACTGAGTTAGAGGCATTGCCTTTTATACTTTCTGTCTTGCCCCTTAGCTTCTGGCAGAAGGGGTGAGCCTGGCCTGGCTGCACTCACCAGGGATCACAGAGTGACTCTGTGACATTCCCCTGGTGTTATCTGGACCATGATCTGCTAGGTCACTCCGATCCTGGACTCTGGGAGCCAGACTTACCCTGCTCCACTGTGAGAACCCCCCACTCCTGGGCTGTTCACGCAGAGCCTCTGGCATGTAAGTTTTTCCTTGGATTGTGCAATCAAATGACACTAGCCAATATCTCCGGTCCCAGACACAACCCTAGGAACCTCCGTCTTGCAGTGTCCAGTTATGCCTGCTGGACGCTGCAAACTTATATGAGTTCATCAATTTAACAAATAAATTGATATGCACCAGGCTTGTTATCCCAAGGGGAATTTCTGAGATGTCTCAAACCAAACGCACTGCTTCAGGTAGAATAAACAAACAAATTTATTAACTACAAAGATAGATTTTAAGTGATTATAAGTCAAAACATAAGTCAGATTTGGTCAAATGAAAGAAAAGCAAAATGCATTCTAAGCTGATCTTAACACATTCAGTGCCCTTACAAACTTAGATGCTTCTCACCACAGGCTGGCTGGTTGCCTTTCAGCCAGGCTCTCCCCTTTGATCAGCGCTTCAGTCACTTGGTGGTGATGTCTGTAGATGTAGGTGGAAGAGAGAGGAAGAGCATGGCAAACGTCTCTCCCTTTTATCGTATTCTTTCTTCCCTTGTGGCTTCGCCCCCTCCCCTTCAGAGTCAGGTGAGCATTACCTCATCGCAGTCTCAAACTGACCAAAGGAAGGGGGTGACTCCCTCGAGAGTCCAACAGATCCTTTGTTGCTGCTTAGGCCAGTGTCCCCTATTCCTGTGAGGCTGGGCTGGGTTTTTCCCATACGTGCCCTGATGAGGTATGATTTGCCCCTCTGCTCTTGGAGAGTTTTTGCCTGGGCTTGTTTTAAGCCATGAGGACACATTCTCAGCCTCATCACTATGTACATGAAATTACAACCTATAACATCACTATAACAACACTGCTCGGTGTGTCATGAGCCTTCCGAAGGCACCCGACATGACAAACTTTCCATTGGATCCCACACCAGCATATTATAAAGATGAACATACATGGGGGTGCAGGGTGGTCCCACAAGGTAGAGAACGTCACAGACTCCTTCCCCTCTACCTCAGTGGGAGGCCACTCCGCCTCACTACACATGCCCACTTGCTGCGAAGCTCTGTCCCCTCCAGCGGTGGCTAGGCCAAACAGATCGATTGATGCGCCTGCTCTGGCCTAGGAGAGCTGGCTCTCTTAGCTCGGGCAGTAGAGGCTGATGCATTAGGAACCAGGCTCCCAGGTTTGATCCCTGCTGCTGCCAACCTCCCCAGGAGTGTCAGCGTTACATGAGTCATTCTTGGCCCAGGCTTCCCACATTCCCCAGCTGTGCCGTGGTCCCTGCCCCACACAACTCAGCCCTAAGCAGAGGGGGTGCAGATTAGACTCTCCCTAACTGGTGGTGGTTTCACGGTGAGGATTATGGCTAACCTGCGCCTGTCCCTGCAGCAGTTACTGCTCCAAAAGAAGGAAACCAAGCGCTGAGTCGCATGGAGCCAAGCCCTGTTGTGCATTAATACGTGCACGTTTGCGTCCCCCCAGCTTAGCCAACATTTGCTAACCGTGGGCCTATCGCAGGATCACTTGCTGCTTGCCATTGACACCCTGGCTCCCAGCAGCAAGCGCGCAGCCCTTTAATCACTTCCCAGGTGTTGTGCTAAACGTCAGCCCTTGTGCCTCAGCCTAGGGGCTTTCCACGCGATCCTGCTGAACTGCACTGGCGTCAATGCCGGAAATGAGTCTGGCGCGTGCTTGGGAACAGTGCAGCTGCCATGCGGAGATAGCGGACATTGGGCTGTTGCACCTTCGCAGTCCCAATAAAATCAGCGGGTGGGCAGGGGTGTCCCGGACACAGCAGCTGGGAGCTTGCAGGTGCGAACGCAGCAGCACACATGGGTGCTGGGGAAGGGTTAGTGCTCAGCACAGCAGCCCTGATTCAGCAAAGCACTTGAGCACAGGTGGGGGGACTTTTGTCCCTGAATGAACCTGAGCCCAGCTTTGTGTAGGACAGACCTTCCCTAAAGGCGCTCTACAGACAAAAGGCTGCAGCGCGGGTCCCACACACAAACCAAGCTGCAGTTGTGCGGGGAGGTGGGTGCACCTTGGAATCGCACAGACAGTTTGCTTAGTGTGGGAAACCCTCTGTCTCTTTCCTCACTGCCCCCTCCTCGGTGCCTGCCCTATATCCCCCCTGCTCTCCACTCTCCTACCCACTGCCAGGCCACGGCAGCTGCTCACATTCCTCCAGGCACATCTGTAACCACAAATCCGGCGCTGCAGACGACCACTGGCCAGATGAGGGCTAGGGAGCCTGCCATGCTGCTGAGGGCTGAGGGCCAGCTCTCAGCGGGTGGAAAGGGAGTGGAGCTGGGCCACTGAACAGCTGCCAAAGACCGAGCCCCAAGGGCGTCTCCCATTCTAACCAGTGTCTGGAGGGTTGTAAAATACTGACGCTTGGATTCGGGCTATGCAGGGAGCCCAGTACAAACGCTGATACATTTCAGAACACGGCTCCTCTCCGGGCTCCATTCAGCTGCTTGCTGGCAGTGATTTGTAGTCAGTGGGCCAAGTTCTTGCTCCGTTGCCCCTCGAGAGCTGTGATGAGAGAGGCAATCACGGAACCAAGCGCCCAATTGAGATAAGTGGAGACAAGAGGCACCAATGCTCAGGAAATTGTCCAGTGCTACCCGGAGAGCGATGGATGTTATTTATTAGTTGTGAGTCAGTCAGTCCAGCTGAGGGGAGAGACGATTTGGGAAGGGGACTTACTGCTCACCGCCCCCCTAAAGCTACTGAGATGCTGGAGGGCAGGCTCTTGGTTGTAGGAGTCAGAAATGATCACGGGTGTGTTGTCGCACACTTGCCTGTGCCAAGGGGTGACCCACGCAGAAGGCCAAGTGCAAGTGCCTAGTGTGAACCCGCCCCCTCTGGCTCCTGTGTCTCACAAGAAATAGAAAGGAGATAATAGGCCCCCAAGGGTGCGTGGGGAGTCACCCCTCGGCAGCGACGGGTGGGAGCGAGGGCAGAATCAGGCCTGATGTGTCTTGTGGGCTCCCATTGGTCGGTGATCTCTCGTCGGGAGCTGTGGGGAGAGGCAGCAAGGGTGAGTTGGGCGGGGATGTGCTGGAGGGAGAGGCCCTGCTTGGAGCTGCACAAGGAAGATCTCGGGCCAAATCTGAGGCTGGTGTCAAATGACGTGGCTCCATTGGAGTCAGTTCACGCCAGCTGAGGATCTGTTCTGCCCGCTCCCTGCAGGTAGGCCTCGAGCCCGCTGCCTGCAGCTCCCACTCAGTGCTGTCTGCTCTTGTTGTTTGTCTCACAGGCGTGGGCTTTGCCATGAGGCAGATAGCAAACCTGACCAAGCCCACCACCATCATCGAGCTGGAGGGCGACAAGGTCACCGTGAAGACCCAGAGCACCTTCAAGAGCACAGAGATCAGCTTCAAACTGGGGGAGGAGTTTGATGAGATGACCGCCGATGACAGACATGTCAAGGTAGGAGGAACAGTTGGCCCGGAGGACAAACAGGACACACACAGGGCAGCCCCAGCCACCAGATGGGGATGCTGCTAGATAGCCAAGGGCTAGTTTACACTGGGCCCAGGGCCGGCTCCAGGCACCAGCAAAGGAAGCAGGTGCTTGGGGTGGCCAATGGAAAGGGGCGGCATGTCCAGGGCTTCGGTGGCACGGCCCT